TTGGGGATTATATCGTTTTTGTTTAGACCATTGCCTTGAGCCACTTGAATCAGCACAAAGACTCCGGTTTATGACGTCATTTGGATTCGCCCCATTTCAACCCATTTGTTGCAAGGTACTGGTTACAGCCTCATAGAAAGATATTAGTCCCTGAAAGCAGATTTGTTGGCCCATGCTGCATGCTGACCTCCTGGTTTACGTTTGAAATGTTTTGGCTCCCACACAAGAGGGTCACGGCCTGAAGAACATGATTCATGCTCTGCCAGCTCGCCAAATATGACGACCTCCTTTTCTTAACCTCCACTTCTACTGACATCACTTGCGTCCGGAACAGAATAGAGTTATTCCTCACGTGATCGTACCATTAACTCACGTTATATGTCGAATTCAAAGCTGCAAAACTCAGTTCAGCGACCTTGATCCTTCTTTAGAACAGCTGTCTCCTTGCAGTATATACATGCTGTTCTAAACGTAAGCAGAACTCCACAGGAATGTTTCAATCCCTTAGCTATATTACGAACGGCCTCTAAGGCTAAAATGCGAAATTTCTCATCCATCCATTTTAATGGATCTGCTTTATCATATTCACATTTTTGCATATTTCCCTTGAACCACCTACGGCATCCCTGTCAGCAAAAACTTTTGAAAACCAGTATGGAGATCAATAGATTGCAAAAGTTTAATAACGTATATAATATATAGTTAGTACGAATGCGGTGAAAAGCAATTGACGGCTGATTAACAAAACCATGGCATCTAATGCCAAGGGAGATTCTTCTATATTTAAAGAAGGTCATGTTTATGAAGAAGGAGTAAGTAGGAATGGCTTCTGTATGAATTCCCAAAATAAGTGCGGTGGAATATTTCTTCCGGCTATTCACTCCATCTTGTGAACGGCGAACAGCGACTGCTGGATAAGAACAGCGAAAGTTGCACATGGCGCCTGATGGATAATAGGCAAAATACGACTCTTCGTTCAGTTCAGTTTAAGTGTTCGATGCGTTTGAAAAAGTACACAGGAAAATGCGGCAAACTTGTACACTTATATCCTCATCCATTTTAGAGAGATGATCTTCGATCATTTTTAGTTGGAGAGGGATTAACAATGATAAGCCCTACGTGGCTTTAGATACGCGGAAGAACGGCATGAAAATTAGCAGCAGAAGCTTGACACGTGTTCAAGCCCGTTAGAATAGGGGACAGCGAA